GCAGAAGTAATAATGAACTATATTTCAAATTTCAAGATGCTTCACATAACAAATTACTCCTTATTCATTTGACTGGCTGTTTTTGGATAAATGCTCAGATTTGGATCCTGAGGACTATAAAGCTATAGATTGTATGTCATTATACATTACACTAGTATGCCTTGTTTTATGAGAAGTGTAAACTTTCCTTTGGTAAAGTTTTCAAATGAAGATCACGACATGCAATTCTTCAGGGCCACAGTAATGCAGCTTTTTTAGTCTTTGATACAGTTTGTGTTTCTTAACGCTCATAGTACAGCAGAGTGAGGTGGGTGCCTAAATCCATCTGAGGACATGTCAGGACATGAGGAAAATCCCAGTGGAAGAGGAGGAAAGGAGGGGGAGGCAGGGAAACGAGTCATACAGTTAAAGACAGAGTAGCAGAAAAGCTAGTACGTTAATAATTAGAATGCCCCAACAGACACAATAGGAAGAAGCTGATTATTACCTGGTGTTTTAGCTGCAACATGATGAGTGTCCTGATTTCATCCCATCTCTGGTGACTTCAGCTATTATTTTGCAACGACTGGGACAGTGATTCAGAGATCACAGATTCAAAGGGAATGCTGCACTCACCTACACATTGGTGCAAAGGCTGGCACGCTGGGCTGTGCTCAAACCTCCCGCTGACTCATGCCAGCCTTGCATAACCTCCTAAGTCATGTCGGAGAACTTCATTACCACTTGTAGTTGTTAAGCCAAGTGCAGAATCTTAGCTTTTTGAGATTCCTAACCAGAAGTCTTTGTCCCAACAGTATCGCATTTGTAAACTGACCGTGTCCACTGAACCTCTGAACAACTCTAATGAACCAGAAATTGACGAAATAGAGGCAGCCCTATCCAACCTGGAGGTGACACTCGAGGCCGGACACACAGACAAAATTCTGGTAAACATATTTTTAAAAACCAAATGTTTTCACCTCTGTTGCAGTAGAATACCTGCTCTGAAGCTGAGGTTGATAGACAAGCCTTAGCTAATTGCACGCATGGGATAATTGACAGTTGTTTGTCTTGCCCCCAGGAAGACATTACAGACGTCCCAGAGCTGGCAAATTCCCTCCGACTGTTTAGGTAAACCCAACTTTAAATATATTACATTTATATTGCACAAAGATGCTAATCATTCATCATCATAGTAATGTGTGTGCATGCTGCCCTTAAATAACCAAATTTAAGGTTTATAAGATCAACATTTGTTAGAGATCAAAAGCGTACTGGATAAACATAAAATATTCTGTTTTAAAATTCATTTTGTGTGTTTTTTGTCTCTGATTCATGCTCCTGTTTTATAATGTCCCCGAGGATATCTGATAATTAATGAAAGGCTCTCAGAATTGCTGCTCTGAACGAGCAGCCTCCGTTATTAAAAAATAAGACTTTATGCACATTTTAAAACATTTAATGCAGTTTTGCTTAAACAAATGTACTTTTTCAATGCTAAATCAGGCCAAAAAGACTGACGCTGCGCCAATACAAAGAGTACTGGTTTGTATTTAAGGACACCACCATCTCTTACTACAAGAACAAGGAGGCCTCCAGTGGAGAACCAATAGAGCAGTTTCACCTCCGAGGTCAGTAAAAAAGAATTGTGTGAAAAAATTATTAATAAGTTTGAATTTAAATGGGCCCTATTATGCTTTTCTTTATTTCATAACTTTATTTCACATTATCAAACATGGCGA